ACAAAACTGAGAAGTTTTTTTAGTACGAAATCTTATCTTTCTAACGCCATCTAGCGTAAGCCGATCGCACTTATACAACGCGAGATACACATTACTAAAGCCATCTATTGGAAAAATAATGGATTTCTTTTTACTACACCTTACATTTATAAAGATAGTCTATTTAATTGATGTATGTGTGTCTTTAAAAATATTATTACAAATTTAAAGAAGTATTATACTTATTGTAGTGAAAATGTCCATATTTATTATAATACAAGTACATGAAACACATAAACACAAATATATATGTATATAAATATAAATTTTTGCCTTTCATCTGCCAAACATCCGTATGGACCAATGCTAACATAACAATGATAAACATGCTAAATAATACCCATACAGCACAAAACATTGAAAGAACGTTGATGAGACGTTGATACAACATTGAAGATAGAAGTGCGGATATTTTTCTGCAAGAAATTTATGTTGATTTTTCAACATTGATAACCAGATACAGCTACAATGTTGAATATATATTGAACAAAAATATAGTTACAATATTCTGCAATATTGTAACTATATTTGGGGAACATTGAAAATTATATTATTGATATACAAAAATAATAATAATAAAATAAATTATTATTAAATTTTACTATATTAGTATATATGTATTATTTATATTATGTTACAATACACCATAATCATATATATTTTTCTTATTGTTTATATATAAAATTGAAATGCTTTTAAACAATTTTACGCAAACCATGAAGAATATTCTTTTATACAAATATTCTCTATTATACAGAGTCTGAAGCTGTATCGATAACAAAAAATGCATAAAAAACATTAAACTGAAAAGAATGGTCGAAGTCATTTTGCAAATAACCACATAAACTTTAGAGATATTAAATAAAATATATTGGCGAATCAACGCGCGTATTTGCTAGGTACGTTATAATATACTGTGAACACACTATAAGTACACATTATATCAGCATAAACTGTAAGAACATCGTTGGAGTCATTGGCATCACCGCGTGCCGCGCGATCACCAGGTTAGGCACACCTTTAATAAAGTGAGGCATGGATGGTGAACGGGCATAACCGCTTCGGATTCGAAATTATCGAGGGAGGTCGCGAAAGTTTTAAAGTGTGTTTGACTATCTTCGGTTCCTAGCAGTCCATGAG